TTGCTTGCTGCTTTTTGACACTTAGGCCCCTGCCACATGTTTAAATTAAAGCTGGATACAGAACAGCTCTAGAGCTGCTACCCATTTTCAAGCACTAACTTTGTAGCTGTTTGGCTCTTTTTATAGCTGGAAACATTTTTATTCTAATATTATAAGAGCCTAAGTCTGCCTGTCTGTCTGTAATGCTTTATTCATGCTCTGATTGACGTAAAACATCCAGAGCACGAAGAGGTGTTCTGACAGAAGGCAGCCCACTGCCATGATGGTGGGGACACAGGGGATGGAGGGGGAGGGCAGGGAAGAGGCCAGCCTCGCCCCCCGCCCTGCTCCCTGCAGGTAACACACGGTGGGGGAACGGGCCCAGACCCCAAACAGCAGGAGAGAAGGGGGAGCAGGCCTGGATTGGTTGGGGAGCGTTCCATCCCCACCTGCTTCCCCCCCAACCATTTTTGACAGGGAATTGGTTAGTGGCATGATGATTACTTTGCACAGCTGGTCAGTCTATAGCTACTGCACAATTAACCAGTCAATTGTGTAATATATGTAATGTGCAGCAGGGGCCTTAAGCTTAAGGCTAAGATGATGGTATGTTTAAAAAGTAAGCATATGAACTTTTTTTCAGGGACTCCAGAAGAGTAGGACACTGCTTGGAGGCCAAGGTCTCCTTACACACCTAATAAGTGAAACAGGATCTGGCCTTTAGTGTACAAAGTATGAGGTAGATTCCTCCACTCAAAGTAATGGAAGTGACCCTGTCCACACACGACATTAATGCTGAATTGCTAGGGTCTTGTACATTTACATGGTGCCTTACTGCCCACCAACTTTCCTGTGTAGCTAAATCTTCAGAGAACTTCAGAATTGGACCATTTCTGGAGGAGACTGGTAATGTTTCATAACAACATTACAGAGAAATGTTCATGAATCTGCTGGTATCCTTCCTGAATAGAAAGCTATGTAATTTACCACTCTCACAAAAGGTGAAGTTTATAGGCCACCAATACTTTCAGTGATCTCACAAATGTGCAACAAACGTAGATAGAACATTTGATTTGTTAGAAACAGGTCTGTAGAAGCAATACATTCTGTTCTTACAGACAAGAAAAGGTAAATTGTGTAGCTTGTTAATGTGGCATAAAATGTGTAAATGTATTCTTGGCTATGTTGTTTTTTGTGATACTCACAGTGCACTTGAAATTTGTTTGTGAATTTTACTCACCACATTTTGCAACTCAAAAAAAATGCAAATCCAATGCATATTGTTATAGGGCATTCCGAGAAAAAACATGTTTCAACATAAAATCAAGTGAAATTAAATATCAAAATTCCTGCAATGTGAATAACGAGTATTGTGTCTACTGAAACCTAGAACATTTAAAAGTGTTTCTCTACTAAAAAGAGATTTATGTGCACAGATGCACTGTAATTCTTTCATCAATTTTCCTGTTTAGTAGACCACCACAACAAGCTTTCTAACTGATTTCACAAAACTTCAAGCTTGCAAAAAGCGTTCATATTTCTGTCTTTTTCTCTCAATTATGTTGATTAGAGATTTCAACTTCCATCATTTCCAAATCTCAACTTCTGGCCTTTTTTCCTTATTTCATTTGGTAAACTGAAAATTACACAAGGCAACATAAAACATGTAGAAGGAGAGAAAAAATAACAAAGTATGGTACTCTGTATAAGTGCATTGGTCCAAAGGCCACCACAGCAACAGACAAAGGAAGTGGAAATTGCGCAGCAATCTTCAACAGTTTACTGTGATAAAAAGAGACCAACAGTTTGATGCTAGTTATAACCTAGTCATACACCAGGAGAAACATCTGCAAATATACCGTTGCACTTGTTTTAGAGACTAACATAAAGATTCCAAGATTTTGGATCTTTCAGTGAAAACAATAGCTTGAAGGGACACAAAGTGCTTATCTAAGAGCAAGAAAATATCTTTTTAACTTTCATTTTGTAAAATCTGTTTTTGCAACTACTTTAAAGCCACTTTCACATGTGTATGATTTTAATAGTTGGGAAAATAGATGTTCTGTAATAGTTTCACACCCACCTTTAATGTTTTACACCACCTGACATAAGTGGCACTAGTTGGCAACTTTCGCATTGGAAGCAAAGGCACAAATGGGCCAGGAAACTCTAATGTTTCTTCACAAAACTCATTGCCCTGCACCTGCTTTACTGGCAGACAAAAAATTATCAGGGCACCTCTACACATGCGGGGAGTCTGCTCAAACACCTAAGTTGACATGGGCTGGCTGGCAGCCTCGCGAGTCAGTGTGCATCAGCTCTGAGAAAATGGTGGAAAGCTTTGAACTAAAACATGTTCGATATGCTTTAGTTCAAAGTGCACCACTGCCATTTTTCAATGCTGACACATGCTGTGCCACTGATACACTTGCTTCCAATGCAGTCCGGAGTGCTTTTAATTAGCGCAGCTTGCATCAGTAGCACATATAAAAATGCCATTGTGCTCTCAACTGAAACTATTCATGAGGTGCAAAGGTCA